GCCAGTTTGTTACATTTCTCTCTCCCCTCTCCACAGTTAGATTTGCAGGGCCTTCAGAGAACTTGCAGTCTTGATGAAAAACTGAGATTTTTTTTTTTTTTTTAAGTCAGAGGTAGGGCTGCCTTGGGATTTAAATAACTGAGGAGTTACAAGATACTCTGGTTATCTAGTGAATGGAAAGGAGCACAAATATGCAGAGGCCTGGGGAAGGTGCTTCTAATCTAGCAGTTACTAGATTAGAAGAGCCAGAAGTCAATTCCGGATCTACTTCCACCTACTGTAGGGTCCTGGCAATATGCTTAGCTTCCTGGAATCCTCGGGGATCTCATCTTCAAGACATAATAGGGCTGACCTTCCAGGTTATTTTGAGCATAAGTCAAGCAGAGCATTTGGCGCAGAGCCTGGTGTGTGGTGAGTGCTAAGTGAATGTTACTAATATTGTCATTATCAGTGTTGTTGCTACATAAAGACATGGGAGTTGACCCACGTCTTAAAAAACAGGGTCATGTGGACAGGCCAAGTACAACGTGGGACCCCATGCACATGCTCCCTTTAAGTTGTGGATAAAGTTTCAAGTTACTGGAGCTGGGAGATACTTAGAAATCTATCATCCCTATTTCTAGGTTGGAGTATCTGCTCTCCAGGATTTACCATTAGAGGGAAGTGAGTATGTCTCTAAGAGATGTTAAAAAATGTCACCCTGTGGGATTCTGTACTCAGTTATGAAACAATGCTTCTTATCTCTCACTTGCCAAAGTGAATTTTAGTATCTTCTTTGGACTCTGCTTGGTTACAAAGATTTCTTTGTACCTATGACTCCCTATAAACATTACTACCCATTTATGCAACTGTTTTGCCCCTTTCTTGTGTTCTTTTTTTTTTTTTAAAGATTTTATTTATTTATTTATTTATTTATTTATTTATTTATTTATTTATTTATTTATTTATGAGAGACACAGAGAGAAAGGCAGAGACATAGGCAGAAGGAGAAGTAGGCTCCATGCAGGGAGCCCGATGTGGGTCTCGATCCTGGGACAGCCAAAAGCAGATGCTCAACCACTGAGCCATCCAGCCGTCCCTCTTGTGTTCTTTTGAATTGTGATCTAAATCTTGGATTGTCCTTTAACAGTTCTGAAGTATACTTCCTTATTCACAGAGCACACACTTCTAGATGTCAACGAAGGTTTCTACATTTTCTGCATTTCTCACAACTCTTAATATGATTCTGGGTATGGGTAAGCACTGAACACAGTTGTTGGTTTGATTTTTTTTTTTTTGAATTCAATACGTTGCATACAATTTGACTAGGAATATATCAGAGAGAAAATATGTTCCCAAAGTAAAAAATACATACTGGCCTATTGAGGTGTAACACAGAGTGAAATGGGAAATCAGATTTAACACGTTCAGATTCTTGCCCCAAACAACAGTTAACATTTCCATAGTCCCAGAAATTTGCCTCTGTCCCTTCCCTTTGCCCCAGAAGCCACTACTGACAGGATTTCTATCACCACATGTTAATTTTGTCTATTCTAGAATTTCACATGAACAAATCCTATGAATCCTACAGTACATACTTTTTGGTGTCTGCATTCTTCTCACTAAGACAATATTCATGATTATCATCTGTGTTGTTACATGCAACAGTATTTAAAAATTTTTTTTTAAAATTTATTTACCCATGAGAGACACAGAGAGAGGCAGAGACACAGGCAGAGGGAGAAGCAGGCTCCATGCAGGGAGCCCAACGTGGAACTCGATCACGCTCTTGGCTGCCCCCATGTAGCAGTATTATCTGTATTTTAATACAAGGGAGTAGTACTCCATTACTCGAATGTGCCACAGTTTGTTAATTTTGTTAATATACTTTTTTGGGGATAGATCTCTATGTTGTTCCCCCAACGACTGCTATGAGTGCAATGCTACTACTCTGTGTGCTTTTTGTGAACATGTTTGAATTAGCTTTGATAAATACCTAGGGGTGGAATATGTGGGGCCATATGTATTAATGTAAATATGTCTATAAGCAGGATTCTAGGTAGCCTGGCATTTTACATGTAGATTGGCTTACTGTCTAAAACATGCAGGAAAAATAGAAGGAAATAAAGTTCACTGGATGCATGGATACAAAACTTAATATATTTAATATTCCTGATAGCCTGAGAGGTAGATAGTGGTAACTGCACTTCCAGGTGAGAACCAAGCCCAGAGGCTGTAATTGCCCAAGGTTGCCTGTCTAGGCATCTAGATGATGGTCCCAAGTCTGTTGAACTCCCACATTTGTGTTCTAGCTCCAGGATCGTGCCCACTTGGGCAGTGGGGTCAGCCTGGCTGTGGCATCATACTAGGCTGTACAAACAGGTTTTTGAAGCTGAATGAGAGGTTGTGGGGTTGCAAACAGGTTACTATCAGGATCAAACCTGTTTGAAGGTACGTTTTGTTTGTCAAGTACAGAGCTTCAGAAGCTGGGGATGAGACACCTGCGGGTGGCTCTGTTGTCTTCATGTTGTCTTCATGTCTTCATCCATTCTGATGTCTCACACTTACCATGTGCTCTGCCTCCAGCTTAGTTTACAATCCCAAAATTTCAGTCTAATCCCTACTTGAAATATAAAGAGACTTGGCACTAAGACAAAACAAATAAGCAAACAAAAAGATGGGCTGAGCCTGAGTCTTGCCTCAGCGCATGTGACTTTCCAGTGCCTTCCTGGAGGCCTCTCTGTCAGAGGGGCTTGTTTCTGCCCCTGAATTCCCTTCTCATTCTGTACCTCCTTGTACTCCTCATCATGCTGTTTTCTCACTGTGTATTTGCTGTCCTATATCTGCATTAACTTGTGAGCTCCTGACAACTGGAGATTTCAAGTGTGTATTCAGAGCATCTCCTGGTGCTTAGCAGTGTAGCCTGCATGACCCAGACTCTGGGGACACTGTACATTACCCTGCCAGCTCTATATCAAGTCAATTGGGCTTTCTTTTGGTGATGCAGCTTGGTTTTTCTTACTTTGGCCTTATTGCTGTGTGGAAAGCTGAATTAGTCTTCACATGTTGCATAGAAATTCCACTACATAGAAGTGTTCCAGAGAGGGTGTGATGAAGAAAGACCATTCCTTGAGCTCTGAGGGATTACATCACGCTCGTGCCAAGAGGCTCAGGGATGTTTACCCTGTTTTGTGCAGTGGCTGAGGAGGTCAGGGAGATGGCTGTGTACTGCACTTCAGGAAGCAAAGGGGGCGGCCTGTGCTGGCCATCACCCCGGGCCCCCAGGGAGGCATGGATGCACCCACACTACCTGTGACAGTGACTGCCTGGCTTCCTGCTAGGAGAGACCCTATCCTAGGGGAGGGACTGCAATCAGCTTCAGTGTTCCCACAGCCTGGGATATTATCAGAATTGGGTTATTTTAAAGCAAACAAAGAAATGTGAGGTTTCCCTTCATCTTGAATGGATTCGTTAGATGGACTGAGTGCCTGTCCAATTTTGGATAAGTAGGCATCTTCTCCCAGGTCACTTTCCCCACACTGAGCACCCTCCTGCATGCTCCTCCATAACCCCCAGGCACACCTGAACTTCATAGGAGCAATCCTCCTTGACAGCTTTTACTAGGTGGACTACGGTTACTTTGTCTCCTCTCAATCCACCAGTGGAATTCCTTCAGGAGTTAAGTGGATGTTGGCAAATTAGGCTAATTTAGTACTCTTCTTATGGCCCCCATAATGGTGCAGTGGGTGGCAATATCTACCAAAATTTCATATGCAGTTATCCCTACACAGCAATTCCAATTATAATAATTTACTAGCAAACACACCACTACAAATTTTAAAATAAACAGAAAAACCATACATAGTTATTCATTGGGCATTATTTCTTTTGGCAAAATATTGTAAAGAACTTAAATGCCCATCCATGGAGACTATTTTTAAAGCTATGATATAAGCCACCTAATGGAATCATCTGCAGCTGTGAAAGGGAGTGGGGGAGGGAGGATGGCAGTTCTTAAATTGGGGATGTAAGCGATATTGCAGTCTCGCATCCATAATCACATCTACATTATTTTAAAAGTATGTGGTCAAAGAACGCTATTATAACAAGCACATTAGAAATTATTTTTTTTTAAAACTTATTTTGGCTTTTTTGGCATTTTTTATTGGAGTTCGATTTGCCAGTATATAACACGTAGTGCTCATCCCATCAAGTGCTCCCCTCAGTGTCCACCTCCCCTTCCACTACCCCTTGTTCGTTTCCCAGAGTTAGGAGTCTCTCATGTCCTGTCACCCTCACTGATATTTCCCACTCATTTAGAAATAATTTTAGTAATATTTTTCCAAATGCAAATACCTACTGTATGCTCCCTGCAATGTGTTCCAAATATACTTCATAAAGAAAAATACTAAGATCAAATACTTATACATTGCTCACTATGCACCAGGCATGGTTTCATTTATTTATTTTTTATCTATTTTTAAAAGATTTTTATTTATTCATGAGAGACACAGAAATGCAGAGAGGCAGGCTGAAGGAGAAGCAGGTCTCTGTGGGGAGCCTGACAGGGGACTTGATCCCAGGATCCCAGCCTGAGCTGAAGGCAGACACTCAACCACTGAGCCACCCCCCAAGGGCCCTCAGGTATGGTTTTAAATATTTTTGCATCTGCCCGCATTGGATTCTTAAAAGCCCCCGTTTCACTTATGCGGAAGAGGAGGCGGAGGCTGGGTCAGGCCTCCCTTCCTTCCCGCAGCATCTCAGCATCCCCCCCCCTCCCCCGCAAGCTGGCCTGCAGCCGCGAGCTCGGCCTCCGGACCCGCTGATCCCCCTCTCCCCTTCCCGACCGCTGACACCCTCCTTCTCAGTCCCTGATGGAAGAAGCGCGCACGTGCGAGCTGGTCCGCAGGTGTTTCCCGGCTTCTGGGACTGAGCGATCGGACACTCTAAGCTGTAGATAACCGGAAAATGCTCGCTCCCTAAGGTTAAGGACTAAGATAACGGGGTGCACGGAACTGCACATGGGGGCACATGTTCACTGCCTTCCTGAGGCTCGGGTTGTTTCGGGAGCAGCGAGGGGGCTGGAGCACACTGCGATCCGCGGACCCGAGGGTGACCCCGGTGCGGACGCGGACCGGCTCCAGGCCCCCCGCAGCGGCCGCCGCAGGCACGTAGGCAGGAGGCCCGCCGCCCTCCCCGCCAGGACACCGCCCCGCAGCACGCCTGCGCGTTCCGAGCCCCCCCCCCCCCCCGCGGCCGCATCCACTGGGCACGCGCAGGAAGGAGGCGGTGCGGCGCCCACTGCGCATGTGCACGCCTCGGCCTCGGGGAGCCGGGTAGCAACACGGCCACGCGGAGCCGCACCTGCCAATCAGCGCGGCCCGGGGCGGGGCTTCGGGTCTGCGCTCCCCGGTAGGCGGCGGGCGACTTCCGGCAATAAACCTCCGCTCGGCGGTCAGGTGGGGACCCAGGGCGTCCGCGCTCCCGGCGGGGACTGAGGCAGCGCGCGCTCCAGGTGGGGACGGACCCCCTCTCCCCCCACCCAGCCCTCCCCGCGCCAGGTAGGGTCGGGGGCCCTGGGCACGCCGGGGGGCGGAGGCGCTGCTCAGCCGCCCTCGCCGCCTGCCCTCGGCCGCCGCCCACTCCCGCGCGCCCGCGACCCCCCGCCCCTGGCCGCCCCCGCCGCGGGCGCTTCCTCGGGGTCTGCGCGGCCCCCGACGTTGCCCGGCGCCTCCCGCCTGCGCCGCCGCGGCCCGAGGCCCTTTCTCCCGGGGACACCTGCCGCCTCCGCCCTGCGGTCCGCGCCCCACCTGCTGCCCAGCCCCCGGGTCTCCCGGCCCTCGTCCGCGCCCCACATGCCCCCCGGCACCCCCGACCCGGTCCCCGTCCGCGCCCCACCTGCCCCCCGGCACCCCCGACCCCGTCCTCGTCCGCGCCCCACCTGCCCCCCGGCACCCCCGACCCCGGTCCTCGTCCGCGCCCCACCTGCCCCCCGGCACCCCCGACCCCGTCCCCGGTCCGCGCCCCACCTGCCCACGGGCACCCCCGACCCCGGTCCTCGTCCGCGCCCCACCTGCCCCCCGGCACCCCCGACCCCGGTCCTCGTCCGCGCCCCACCTGCCCCCCGGCACCCCCGACCCCGTCCCCGGTCCGCGCCCCACCTGCCCACCGGGCACCCCCGACCCCGGTCCTCGTCCGCGCCCCACCTGCCCCCCGGCACCCCCGACCCCGTCCCCGGTCCGCGCCCCACCTGCCCCCCGGCACCCCGACCCCGTCCTCGTCCGCGCCCCACCTGCCCCCCGGCACCCCCGACCCCGTCCCCGGTCCGCGCCCCACCTGCCCCCCGGCACCCCCGACCCCGTCCCCGTCCGCGCCCCACCTGCCCCCCGGCACCCCCGACCCCGTCCTCGTCCGCGCCCCACCTGCCCCCCGGCACCCCGACCCCGTCCCGGTCCGCGCCCCACCTGCCCCCCGGCACCCCCGACCCCGTCCCCGTCCGCGCCCCACCTGCCCCCGGCACCCCCGACCCCGGTCCTCGTCCGCGCCCCACCTGCCCCCCGCACCCCCGACCCCGTCCCCGTCCGCGCCCCACCTGCCCCCCGGCACCCCCGACCCCGTCCTCGTCCGCGCCCCACCTGCCCCCCGGCACCCCCGACCCCGTCCCCGTCCGCGCCCCACCTGCCCCCCGGCACCCCCGACCCCGTCCCCGTCCGCGCCCCACCTGCCCCCCGGCACCCCCGACCCCGTCCCCGTCCGCGCCCCACCTGCCCCCCGGCACCCCCGACCCCGTCCCCGTCCGCGCCCCACCTGCCCCCCGGCACCCCCGACCCCGGTCCTCGTCCGCGCCCCACCTGCCCCCGGCACCCCCGACCCCGTCCCCGTCCGCGCCCCACCTGCCCCCCGCACCCGCGACCCCGTCCGTCCGCGCCCACCTGCCCCCCGGCACCCCAGACCCCGTCCTCGTCCGCAGCCCCACCTGCCCCGCGGCACCCCCGCCCCAGGTCCATCGTCCGCGCCCCACCTGCCCCCCGGCACCCCCGTCCCAGTCCCGGTCCATGCTTCACCTGCCCGGCCCTCCTGTCCTCGTCCGCGGCTCCAGCATCCTCCCCGCACCTGGCCCTCTGTCCCCAGCCCTCGTCCACGGCTCCAGCATCCTCCTCAAACCTGGCTCTGGGTCCCCAGGCCTTCTCCAAGGCTCAGCATCTTCACTGAGGCTGCTTCCCTGAGCTGGCAGCTGATGCCTAGGCTGTACATCCTTCTCATCATCATAAATTCGCTTTCACCCTTCGTTACAGGGTTCCACTACTCTCAGTGGGCCTATTCAAGCTCATTTTGAGAACTAAGGCATCTAAAGAATCCTTACTTTTCTCTGTGAAGTCCTCTTTTCTTGCCTCTTCCAAATCTGTATCCTCCAGCCCTAACCATAAGACACATTTTCTCATTTTCTCATAAGAATTCATACTCCTCCAATGGCATTTTCCCCTCTTTATTTCCTGGTCTCTGTTTCTCTGAAGCATCTGTGACCACCTCTCAGGATTTGCAGAAAGTTCCATTTCTGATGATCAGCCATCAGTTCACTGCCTCTTGACATTTTCTGGTGATCAAGTTCCTCCGCACTTACAAACCATATTCACATTTGACCCTAAGTTATTTGGAAATCTTGTAAGGATAAGAAAGCAGTAAAAGATCAGATGCTTATGAAATTGGGGACCAGTCTTTCTTATCACAGAACGATAAAAGTTTTCTCAATTTATGTTGAAACATAAGCAAGAAGAAGAAAAGACAGTGGTTTGCCAGCTATTTTTGCTGAACACCAAACTGCCTTACTGTTACCTACATTGTAACTTCTTGTGTGGGTGGGTATATGGTGCACAGCATTAACTTGAACTCTGCACTTAAAGCTGTTATTGTTTGGAGGGAACCAATATAGGTACTACTTGCGTTTCCTGTCCTCTTACTTAAACAGCAAAATACATGAAGCCTTTTAAAATTTATTAGAGTGTGTTTCTTGGGATGTTTTCCTTATTGTTTTTATGTTTAGATTCGTCATTACTTTAGACTACATCTGGTGACTTAATGTAACAAGGTAACACTTAAAAAAAAAAAAAAACCAACAAACCTGACAACTTTATGACCTGTTCTTTTCACAGGGTGCTCATGAATTGCTATTGTTAAAAGTATAGTGACAGAGCAGGGGCCCTGGACTGACCATCCAGAAATGGGATTCCCAGCTCCGCCACACCCTGTGCATCAGTTTCTTTTATAAAATGGGGAATTAAGGCTGTGAAAGGGGGATGGTGACATTTTCTGTCTTTCAGGGCAGTGTGGGGCTGAGATAGGACAGGTACCATGTGTGATACCTATGTACTAGGATCATCAGCTAAGAAATGCATCTTGTTGAGGGAAGACATTTCTTGGTTCTGCATCTCTCCTGTTGCGAGTTCCTTTGGCTTGGGGAAGTCCCGTGTTTCTGCAGGATTCCACCCCAATCTCCTGCCACAAGAAGAAGAGATTAAGGGAAGATTTGTAAGAGTTTAGCCCCATGTGCTCTCTGACATCAGTTAGCATGAAGTGTGGGTAAAATTGCCAACCGTACCAGCTATTTCTCAACTGAGTAGCCACCCTCTGAGTAGTTGGTCTTATGTGCTTGATTTTCAGGAGTCAGTTTATGTTTTAAAATATTTTATTTACTTCAGGTAGAGAGAGAGAGAATATGGGGTGGGGTGGGTGGCAGAGGGAGAAACAGACTCCCCTGCTGAGCAGGGAGCCAGACGTGGGGTTCCATCCCAGCCCAGGACCCTGAGATCATGACCTGAGATGAAGGCAGATGAGTAATGGACTGAGCCACCCAGGTGCCCCTGCTTTTATTTTTGTGTTTGAAGTTTTTCAAAACAAATGTGATTTTAAAGTTCATAAAGTTATAGCAACTCAGGTCTTTTAGCAGGGCAGATAAATACATTTCCATAAAAAGTGATGGGTTGTTTGTTATTCCGAAAGTGTAGTAGTATTTCCAATCTGCAAATTTACATGTCTCAGGTTGGGAGTATTTTTGAAAATTTGATACCAGGCCTTTCAGATTACGCCGTGTCTTGTTTTTCTTTTCTTCTTGTGTTTTCCTGATAGCTTTTTCTTACTGTTTATAGTAACTCTTCTAGAGTCTGCCTTCATCTGTGAACTGTATAGGATTGATTATACTTTAAAATAAAGCTCCATTGTGATCCAAAGAGCATATGTCAAGTCTGTGGAATCCACATGCTACAACAAAATGGATCTTCTCCTCTGTGTTGAAGATAAAAACCCTTGAAAATGGGCTTTTAAGTTTCCCTGGTCCATGGGGCTGCACTTCATTCCTGCCACTCCATATAAATACAAACCAAGCACCTGAAATGTCAGGCTAACCATGTTCAGTTCTCACAGAAGGAGTTGCAAAAGAGTTGGTTATCTTACTCAAAATACCAAGCTGATTCTTAACTTCACCGTGAAAACTGCTTAAATGCTACAGGAGTAGCTTGTGGGGCCTGAATAGAACTGTATTGAGTGGTGAGTGGGCATAGTGCTTACCTAGACAGGGCAATGTTTGTGCATCTTCAAGTGTTAAGACAAGTTTGTTAGCTAAGGAGCTGGCAGGAGGTTTCTGTCGCCTGAAGACTTCTGCTTTCTGCCTCCCGTTCACCCCACAATCCCTGGCAGGTTATTCTCAAAATAGCACTGTTCATATCACTGTGTTGCCCCAAAACATAATTATTTGGAGAATAAAGTCTAAGCGGCCTTGATACTGAAGTTTTCTGTGATCTGGCTTCTGGTCACCTTTCCAACCTACCTGCCAACCTTCCCAAAGATTTCTCTATTTCAGCCAACCAATTCTGTTCATTCTCAAAGGTGTCACATGTATTCCCAGTTTTGTATGTTTTTTTTACCCACCATTTCTATGATTGGTATTTTTCCCCCTTGTCTTTCCATGTAATTGAGATCTAACCGTGCTTTAAGGCCAAGGTGATGCCCTGGTTTTTCCTCAGAGGTCCCAAATGATTTGCTTTTTACTGAATTTCTTTTTTTTTTTTTTAGTGTTTAGATTTCTTTTTTTTTTATTTTTTATTATTATTTTTTTTATAAATTAATTTTTATTGGTGTTCAATTTACCAACATACAGAATAACACCCAGTGCTCATCCCATCAAGTGTACCCCTCAGTGCCCGTCACCCATTCACCCCCACCCCCCACCCTCCTCCCCCTCCACCACCCCTAGTTCATTTCCCAGAGTTAGAAGTCTTTATGTTCTGTCTCCCTTTCTGATATTTCTCACACATTTCTTCTCCCTTCCCTTATATTCCCTTTCGCTATTATTCATATTCCCCAAATGAATGAGAACATACACTGTTTGTCCTTCTCCGGTTACTGTGGCCAAGTTCAAAAAGGGTGTTGCCTGAGTTCTCCTCTGGGATTTTGATGGAATCTTGTCTCACATTTAGATCTTTCATCTATTTTGAGTTTATCTTTGTGTATGGTGCAAGAGAGTGGTCCAGTTTCATTCTTCTGCATGTGGATGTCCAATTTTCCCAGCACCATTTATTGAAGAGACTGTCTTTCTTCCAGTGGATCGTCTTTCCTCCTTTATCGTATATTAGTTGACCATAAAGTTCAGGGTCCACTTCTGGGTTCTCTGTTCTGTTCCATTGATCTATATGTCTGTTTTTGTGCCAGTACCACACTGTCTTGATGAACACAGCTTTGTAGTACAACCTGAAATCTGGCATTGTGATGCCCCCAGATATGGTTTTCTTTTTTTAAAATTCCCCTGGCTTTTGGGGTCTTTTCTGATTCCACACAAATCTTAAAATAATTTGTTCTAAGTCTCTGAAGGAAGTCCATGGTATTTTGATAGGGATTGCATTATACGTGTAAATTGCCCTGGGTAACATTGACATTTTCACAATATTAATTCTGCCAATCCATGAGCATGGAATATTTTTCCATCTCTTTGTGTCTTCCTCAATTTCTTTCAGAAGTGTTCTGTAGTTTTTAGGGTATATTTTGAGAACCATTTGAATGGTAAATGGTTCTCCAACCTTTTATTTTCAGGTTGTAGGTGTCCTTCTGTCTAAAATGAGTCTCTTGTAGACAGCAAATAGATGTGTCCTGTTTTTTTTATCCAGTCTGAAACTCTGCGCCTTTTGATGGGGTCATTAAGCCCATTCACGTTCAGAGTTACTTGAACTTCTTCTTAAAGGGGAGTTTTAAGAGTCTCCCTTAAAATTTCTTGCAGAGCTGGTTTGGAGGTCACATATTCTTTCAGTTCCTGCCTGTCTTGGAAGCTCTTTATCTCTCCGTCCATTTTGAATGAGAGCCTTGCTGGATAGAGTATTCTTGGTTGCATGTTCTTCTCATTTAGGACCCTGAATATATCCTGCCAGCCCTTTCTGGCCTGCCAGGTCTCTGTGGAGAGGTCTGCTGTTACCCTAATATTCCTCCCCATGAAAGTCAGGGACTTCTTGTCTCTTGCTGCTTTAAGGATCTTCTCTTTATCTTTGGAATTTGCAAGCTTCACTATTAGATGTCGAGGTGTTGAACGGTTTTTATTGATTTTAGGGGGGGATCTCTCTATTTCCTGGATCTGAATGCCTGTTTCCCTTCCCAGATTGGGAAAGTTTTCAGCTAGGATTTGTTCAAATACATATTCTGGCCCTCTGTCCCTTTCGGCGCCCTCGGGAATCCCAATTAAACGTAGGTTTTTCTTCCTTAGAGTGTCATTTATTTGCCTTAATCTGTCTTCATGGTCCCTTAATTGATTGTCTCTTTTTTCCTCAGTTTCCCTCTTTGCCATTAACTTGTCTTCTATGTCACTCACTCGTTCTTCCACCTCGTTAACCCTCGTCGTTAGGATTTCTAGTTTGGATTGCATCTCATTCAATTGATTTTTAATTTCTGCCTGATTGGATCTAAATTCTGCAGTCATGAAGTCTCGTGAGGCCTTAATGCTTTTTTCTAGAGCCACCAGTAGCTGTACAATGGTGCTTCTGAATTGGCTTTCTGACATTGAAGTGTAATCCAGATTTTGTAACTCTGTGGGAAAGAGGGCTGTTTCTGATTCTTTCTTTTGAAGTGAGGTTTTCCCTGAATTTCTTTTAGTTCTTCTCTTTACCACTCATTCAGTACATACATAATATATTTTTGTTTTAGATCTATTTACATATATTATTTGTGTGAATTTTCTCATTTGCTGTTATCTATTTTTTTTCAAATTTTTATTTAAAGATTTTTTTTAAAAAAATTATTTATTCATGAGACACAAAGAGAGGCAGAGACATAGAGGGAGAAGCAGACTCCTTGGAAGGAGCCCAAAGTGAGACTCAATCCCAGACCCCAGGATCATGCCCTGAACTGAAGGCAGATATTCAACCCCTGAGTCACCAGGAGTCCCATCAAATTTGTATTTAAATTGTAGTTAACATACAGTATAATATTGATTTCAGGAGTAGAATTTAGTGATTCATCACTTTCACGTAATGCCCAGTGCTCATTACAGGTGCCCTCCCTCATGCCCATCACCCATCTGCCCCCCCCCCCCCGACTCAGCAATTGCGCTACTGGTATTTACCCAAAGGATACAAAAATACAGATTTGAAGGGGTTTGTGCTTCCTGATATTTCTAGCGCTATTATCAATAGTAGACAAATTACGGAAACAGCCCAAATGTCCATCCACTGATGAATGGATAAAGAAGATGTGGCTGTTGTCTATTTAGTTCTTCGACTAGATAGTACACCTTTAGGGAGGGATTACATAGCATAATAACACATCTGGCCTGTGTTTAACTTTGTTGTTGGAGTAATCTATATTTGGTGTGTTTAGCAGTATTCTGAATAGTTGCCACTTTTTTTAAATATCAGTTTTTCTGAATCCACCATATATGATACCGAGAGGTACTTTGGCAGCCATCAGCAATGGTCCTCACAGACATTTTTCTCTCGTATATGTTTTACGAGACTACCTGAGCAGCATCTGCTCTATCATGGTATGCACTTGCCTTCTTTGGGAGGAGTGGATACTATGGGAGACAGTTTTATTAGATACCTATGCATTGACCAGATGTGGTTGTAGCTTCTGCATTTTAGGGTGATTGGTAATTTGAAACAAGTCTGTAAGATGATACTTATAAAAACAGTGCTGAGATTTAAATAATGATTTTTAAGGATCTTCTAAAATAATTTGAATGAATAAATATGTGGCTGTTAAAGATGTGGTCTTACTGGGAATCCAAGTGTAGCAGGGTTTAGAGATCCTCTTGGTTTATGGGAAGATGAGTTCACCATATATTTTACTTAAGGAAATGTATTTTACTTTAAGGAAATGAGCACTTAGAGTTGGCCCAGAAATACTGTTGAAGACTTAGAATTTCCTTCTAACTTGTCTGTTTTAAGGCAGTATAAATGTCTACCCTATAGCCTATTTTTTTGTTAGTTATAATAAATATAGTTGGGAGATTATATTTGAAAACTTCTCTCAGGTACTCTGTTAGAAATACTCCACATTAGAGAAATACTCCAAGTCTACTTTGGATGTGAGATTAATATAACACATTACTCTATTGAAACTGTTTTTGGTTGAGTTATCATCTGCCTTTTTGGGACTAAATCAACTATATACTGTTCAATTCTTACTGTACTAGCTTGTTGATAGTATTTTACTCTCTGTCAATCATTTCTTTCTTAAAATACATTCATCTCTTGATTTCCTACTTCCTCTCTTAACCTCTTTGGCTCTTTTCTTTTTTTTGGCTCTTCTTTTCAATTCCCTTTCTTGGCCCATATATATCTGCTTGTCCATTAACTGTCATTGTCTCTTTGAGTTTTTTCTTTGGCTCTATGTGTTCTCTGTTGTGGTATCATTCCTCTGGCTTTGGTTCCTAGCTGAATGCTGAGGATTTCCTGGTCTTGTTGTCTAGCCTTAGTCTTCTCTCTCCTGAACGGTGGATGTGTATATGCATTCATTCACTCTGGGTTTACTGAGTTCCCTTGTGTGCCTGGCATTGTTAGAAAATACATGTACCCATCACCCACAGATCTGGGGTTGAAGCTAAGCATTGTATTTTATAAAAGCTTCCAAGACTGTACTGTTAGCGCACAGCAACGGTTGTAAACCACTGAGCAAGAGGTACCACTCAAGGCAGTAGAAGAGCTAGTACTGGGTGTCTTGCTTTCACTAAATTGTAAGCTCTATGAAGGTAATAATATCTGTGTTGTCAGTTTTGAAGGTCCTAATTTTTACACACGGATTCTTATATGTGGATTCCAGTACAGTGCTTATCACCAAGGGTTTGACAAATCTAACAGGCCCTCCAAAACTGAAATCGGTGTCTCTTTGGTGCCAGAAACTAAAATCTGGCCACCTGTGGTTTCCCTGCACACATGCAGCCAGTCTGCATGCTTGCTCCTTGCCCCTTGGGCCTTTCCTTGGGGGAGCAGAGAACATGGTGGCTGGCTCCTTGGAATCCGTGAGAGAGCCAGTGTGTGAGATAGAAGTCCTTGACTGCTCTTGACTATGCCTCCTGGGTGCTTCTAGAATCTACCCTCTCTAGTCCTGCTGCAGAGACTCCAACCTTCTGGGGGCCAGTGTTCAGAAGCTGCCAGCCCTAATGACTCCTCTTGCCTCCAGGTGCCACCCTGCCAATGCCAGCTTCCATCCTCACAGTGTGACCTGGAGCCATTTGTAAAGATTGAATTGAATCACTTGCCTGCTGAGCCTCCTTTTTTGGGCCCCTTGTTGCCCTCAGAGCAGAGTCTAGTTCTTTGATGTGATCACATCTCCATTCTCACTTCTCAGCACTTCCTGTACCTGCTCTTACGCTGTATGCTTTGACCAAACAGGAGTACATACAGTGTATGCATCATGTTGCTTCTAATTTCTGCTGAGAGTTGTCTCTGTCCATCTTCCCCAGGTGCTGTATGAACACCAGTGTCTGCTCAGCATTTAGGGCATATGCAGACATTTATATAGTAAGAGCTTTATTCTTTTAAGTTAACGAATAAATGTTCTAAATGAAAGGAAACTATATTTGCACATACATTCCTTCTGTTATAGGAGAACTATGCCATTTTTGGGTCAGGACTGGAGATCTCCTGGATGGAGCTGGATCAAAACAGAAGATGGCTGGAAGAGATGTGAATCCTGGAGTCGGGACCTTGACACAGAGAATAACCCATGTAATGTCAGTCACAGCATGTAAGTTATGGCCAAGCAGAGCCACAGCATTTGCCTGCTTCACGTGTGTGATGTTACCTGCTTTGAAGTCCCCACAGTGTGCCATAGCTTGTATTGGCCGAGTTTGCCCATACACAAGGCTGGTGAGAAGCCACATGTTATTTAGCTAAAGCCTCAGCCTAGTACATTGTCTGGAACCTTCCCATAGGAACCTTACGATGAATGATCTGAGAAGAAGGATTACCGTTACCCTCACGTTATAGCTGAGGAACCTCAGGAAATCAAGATACGGTTTTGGCAGCATATGTCTGAGACCTGTAGTAATAGTGGCTTGCACAAAACAAATCCATTTTTCTCTCTAGAAAGCCTGAGTTGGTGTAGTGACTTTGGTCAGGGATGGAAGGACATTCTGTGTGGTTGGTATGCTATCCCAAGGTGGAGTATTACCCATGGCATCTACATCATGGTCAGTAGGGTGAAAGAGGAGGATACTTGGATCACAGTTGCTCACACCCCATGGGCTGGAGCACTAGATGCAGACAGATTGGGAGTTATCAGATGAAAGTCAGAGATTGCACGAACACAGAAGCATGGTATGATAACATACCAATCACATGGTATGATAACTCCAATCATTGAACATCTGGAGCTTTAGGAATCTCAAGCCCTCTTGAGTCTAGTAGTTGATTTTATATATGTTTTTATTTGGTATTTGCATAATTACCAACTGTATTTTAAACTGATGGGCAATATGATTTTTCTTTATCATTTTATTAGTTTTTTCATCATCAGTGTACTTTTTAATCCCCATCACCTGTTTCCCCCATCCCCCACCTATCTCCCTCTGGTGACCCCCAGTATGTTCTCTGTAGTTAGGGGGTCTCTTGCTTGGTTTGCTTCTCTCTCTTTTTATTCCTCCTTTGCTTGTTTGTTTCTTAAGTTCCGCATATGAGTGAAATCCTATGGTATTTGTCTTTCTCTTACTGATTTATTCCACTTAGCATAATACCCTCCAGTTCCATCCACATCATTGCAAATGGTAGGATTCATCCTTTCTGATGGCTGAGCAATATTCCATTGTGTATGTATATATATACACCACATCTTCTTTATCCGCTCATCTGTTGGTGGACATTGTGGCTCCTTCCACAGTTTGGCTGTTGTGGACATTGCTGCTATGAACATTGGGGTCCAGGTGCCCCTTTGAATCACTGCTTGTGTCCGTTGGGGTAAATACCCAGTAGTGTAATTACTGGGTTATAGGGTAGTTGTATTTCTGAGGACCCTCCACACTGTTCTCCATAGTGGCTGTACCAGCTTGCATTCCTACCAACACTATAACAGGGTTCCCCTTTCTGGACATCCTCACCAACATCTTGTTAATTTTAGCCATTCAGACTGGTATGAGGTGGTATCTCACTGTGCTTTTGATTTGTATTTTCCTATGAGTCATGTTGAACATCTTTTCATATGTCTGTTGGCCATTTATATGTCTTCTTTGGAAAAATGTCTGTTCATGTCTTCTGCTCATTTAAAAAAAAAAGATTTATTTATTTTAGAGAATGAGTGCCTGTGCACATGAGTTAGGGTCAGAGGGAAAGAATCTCCAGCAGATTCCCCACTGAGCATGGAGCCCAACACGGGCTTGATCCCACGACCCTAAGATCATGACCTGAGCCCAAACCAACAAGAGTTGGATGCTTAACTGACTGCACCATCCAGGCACCCCATTCTGCTTGTTTTTCAGTTGCATTATTTGTTGTTTGGGTGTTGAGTTTGATACATTCTTTATAAATTTTGGATACTAACCTTTTATCTGATGTGTCATTTGCAAATAGTCCATCCTGTACATTTTCTTTTACTTTTGTTTTCATCGTACAGAAACTTTTTATTTTGATGTAGTCCCATTAGTTCATTTTTGCTCTGGCCATCTGATTTTCTGACAGAAATTTAGTAGCGTTAGGCTAGAGATTGCTTTTGCAGTATTTAAATAGAAGTTAATTTATATTTCAGATTATAGTAAAGATAACATATTATATTTATTGAACTCATATTGTGACATTTCGCTGCCATTCTGAATTTTATTTAATATTCATGGCTGTAAATTTTACACAAGGTTGGTAATTATACATGCTACTGGTATTAGATGTTATACAGCTGTGAATTTTCAGTTATTTTTTGTCTTAGAGTTCTCATAGCAAATTATTTTTTTATTTTTTAAAATATTTTATCTATTTATTCATGAGAGACATACAGAGAGAGGGAGGGAGGGGGAGAGAGAGAGAGTGTCAGAGACACAGGCAGAGGGAGAAGCAAGCTCCATGCAGGGAGCCCGACATGGGACTTGATCCCAGGTCTCCAGGATCACACCCTGGGCTGAAGGCGGCGCTAAACCGTTGAGCCACCGAGGCTGCCCTCATAGCAAATTCTTTAAATGTAAACTTAGTTGAATGCATCTAGAAATGTTTGGTGTTTACGTGGACTCCCAGTGACAACTATTCATTGTGGAGGTTCTTGATGTCACTATTCAAGGATGGGTCAATGGGCTATGATGCATCAGAGTGAGAAAGCTATAATGTATGAAGTACCCTGTTGCCACTTCTACACTGAGAGATTCATGTGACTCTGTGGGGTTTTTTTCCTGATGTATTTCCCCTTCATCCCACACATTTTAAGTATCTGAGAACAAACTGTCTTCTGCGTACACATAGATGTAGAGAACGTAGGTCAGGACTATTTGCTCTGTGTGGTGAACTCCATGTCCGCCTGTCTCCCTCACCCTGCCCCATGGACTCTCCTTGCCCACTCCCGTTCAAACTTCTTCCAGAGTCCTTTTGAGTAGCAAGCTTTGCTAACAGGTGCTTCTCTACACATAGTGGAAGTACTGATATGCCCTTACTGCCACGACCGTGTCACCATAACCGTGGACTGCCTGCGTTGGGCAAAGTGGAGGGAGAATTAGCTAGTGCTCTGTCCTTTGCAGTATCTGGTGACATCCAGGTGGCCACTTTCCCCACTCTTTTTTCTGCTTTCCCCTCTTTTTCCCTGTTTTCACAAAAATGTGTGTGTAGCCAGACCTGTGGGGAGAGGACATGGATGACCCAACCCTGCAGCAAATGTCTGATCTTTTTCTTTCCCTGGAAGTGAAAGCAATTTAACCTTGATCCTACAATTTCAAAAAGAAAATAAAACCATAGGTAACCAGCATTTCAAATCACTTTGTAAAATGACCTTTTCTTCCTCTGAATGTCTTTGAGAAATAGCGCTCCTGGTTCTTTGGTTTAGGATAGGCTTTTCAAAACTAGGAAAATTGAAAACAAACAAAACAAAACAAAACAAAAAAACAAAACTAGGAAAATTGTCATAAAAATCAGTTAGGCAATAAAGATTCTAACCAACTTTGTTAATTTTTTTTTTTTTGTGTGTGTGTGTGTGTGTGATGGGCATGAAAATAGAACACTTTTAAATATCCCCCTCTTCTCTTTTTGCCTCATTTTGGGATTAAAAGTTCAGAGGAAATAGGTAAGCAGTCACACAGTTCAACATGGCAGTTCAAGGATTGTGAACCCCTCCATACTTTGAATCCTAATTAAACTTTTTTTTCAAGTAACATTCACAATATTCTGGAGGCTAATGATGATGGAGCAAACATTAACCCCTATTTCTAGTGCTTTGTTCTTCGTGGAAAAGATGTGTAGAACTACAGCGTCTTGTGCTGCAGAGCAGTTTGATATACGGGGGAATCATCTCACACCCCTGCTGAGGAGGGTTGCTCACTAGGCTGTAGACCATCTGGGCCACACACTGACCAGGATTCTAGCAGATGCAGACCGCTCAGGGACGATGAGTGTGTGCCTGTGGCAGTGTCCGTGCAGTCAGATGGCAGTGGGGGAGAATAGACCGGACAAGGAGAAAGGGGAGCCGCCGAATATTCCGAATATTCCTTGAGTTTTTGCCTCGGAGAGAATCATATTTATTAGTAATCTGGCCCCATGTCTCCCTCGGGGCATTGTTGGAAAGCAGTTTTATGTCTAAGGACAGATCTTGTGTGATTTTGTAAAGGGAAGGCATTGAAGAGCTGCATCTGGATACTGCGTATCTGAGAATTGGTACCCTTCATCAGACTGGGCCATTCTCAGTAACTCCAGGCTCAGAGGGGCTGTGGAAAGAGGCGCTTCTCATCCTGGGAGGCTAGATGTGACAGAGGGGGCGCTCAGCTCTGCCCTCACGGTGGCACTCCTCAGGTCTTCTCCCTTTGCCTTTAGGTTTTTAAGTCTTTTCGCTGCATTATTTTTATTGACCTCTCCTTAACCATTGTTTCCAATCCAGGTTTGAGTATTTTTTTAAAGATTTTATTTATTTATTCATGAGAGAGAGAGAGAGAGAGAAAGACATTGAGAGAGGGAGGCAGAGACACAGGCAGAGGGAGAAGCAGTCCGCACGCAGGGAGCCTGACGTGGGACTCGCTCCTGGGACCCCAGGATCACGCCCTGTGCCAAAGGCGGTGCTAAACCGCTGAGCCACCTGGGCTGCCCTTGAATATTTTTTTAAAAAAGGTTTGTGTATTTACTTTAGAGAGAGAGCATGAGGAAGGGCAGAGGGAGAGCAGCAAGCAGACCCCTACTGAGGACAGAGCCCATCATGAGGCTCGACCACAGGACCCCAGGATCATGACCCAAGCAGAAATCAAGAGTTGGACACTGTGCCAGTTGTGCCACCCAGGCACCCCCAAGTTTGAGTATTTTAAGGCTTATTTTGGTCATTTGGTTCTCAGTAGGCAGAGCCATGGAAGGCATTGTAAATTTGGGACTCCACAGAAAGTATCGTCAACTCTAATAGGTCCCAGGATATCTGAAGGTAATTGAATTCTTTAAAAAGCATTTTTATTTTATTTTATTTTTTTAAAGATTTTATTTATTTATTCATAGAGACAGAGAGAGAGAGGCAGACACACAGGCAGAAGGAGAAGGAGGCATCATACAGAGAGCCTGATGTGGGGGACTCGATCCAGGGTCTCCAGG